ACCTACCTACCTACCTACCTACATGCATGCATGCATGCATGCATACACACATCATTACGTACATCATTACATACCTACATACATACATACATACATACATACATACATACATACATAGGTTGACTGACCACTCCCCACAGGGCCAAAAACCACCCATCTCTAAGGTTGAGATCGGACGTCAGCATTATCAGGCGCCTCTGGCAGCCGCTTCAGTCCATGTAACGATCTCACCTTCCCGCCCATCCCACCCCAGGGGAGGACATCCACCACACAGTAATCTCGTGCGTGGGAAATTAACGTCTCCTACCCCTAGCCCTGCAGGAGACGGCGCCTGCGGTTTATTCGTCTTTATCCGAGAAGACTAGAATATCTATCCATTTCTTGATTATAGAAAGGTAGTAAATTATCCTCAGTTATTTTTTAGACCATGAGTATTGGTCCGGCCGGGTCTCGAACCCCCGACCTCCCGCACAACAATCCGGCGCTCTAACCAATTGAGCAAACCGGGAGGCAAAAGTCACGAGAATAAAGGAAATGATTCACCAATTTAGAAAGCTTCTGATTGTCAAACAAATTCTCCTTGTCAGTCCCACAGGAAATGTTAAGAGAACAGTACGGAGAATATGAATAGCAATGTTCGAGGGTGAGGGATCAACAAATTATCATTAGGGAATTTGCTGGCTGGTTTAGAGCCATGATCTACGCGCAGACAAATGGATCTCTTCAATTTATATTCATTGAACGTTATCGGATGGGTAGATCATGCTGCTTATCTAACGCAAACTCTGTGTAAATGAAGTACCCGAGTGTCCATCTGAGAGAGACACTTCAAAACTGGGAGACGTTACACTTAGGAGTCAGGAACTAATCATTATACTGTGGCTTAAGAAAAACAGTCAAAGGACATCAGAATCCACTAGCTGACTGCGCATATCTTTGAGGGGGTATTTACTAGAAGTTTATACTGGTACTGAAAAATGCTTCGAGCGTCTAGATCTGTAGTAATGGAATTATGAAAGACGGGTGAAATTGGAACATAAAAGCCGTGGGAATTGTCTGCCTAATTCTTGTTCACTTAAGCTTCTTCTAGGGGTTCAGTTGTTAAAATGAAATGAGCAAAAGAACCGGAGGGGTTAATAGACGGTGGAGGCTTAGGTCGGGTGGCGTAATGACTCGACCCAAACTTCCCTCACTTTTTTCGCCTCCTCCGGTTTACTAAAAGTGAACGTGTGCAAAAGGCCATGTTCGCCAATAAAATTGAAAGGATTTTTCGTCCATCAGTTTCTATCCTCGTGTACCAAATATTCAAAGCTAAATAAGGTCTCAATTACTTCCGAGGATGGCGTGATAAGACAGCAGACAGCAGCTGTTTACGCTAGTTGGCTTACGTCTAAAGATCGACGCACAGCCACTTATACTGGTGTCAAATAACCCAAGTGCTTTTATTTTAACAATTTACTTCGTAGAAATTAGAAAGATTAAGTAAAATGATAAAGTGCGTCACGGGTATTTTAAAATCAGGTGGAAGATTAGTACGCTTTGATGTTCTGTCACTGATCAGGAAGAAAATAAATATGTTACTGTCTGAGCGACGTGTGTCGAACGAGGCGTCATCATGGGTTTCATGCAAAATCAAGCCCTTGGGTTGAAGCATCAACTTCTTGTGAACTCATTTCGTAATTTAAATGTTGATAACACGTATTTGAAGACATAAAACAGATCGACACGAACAAAAAACTTATCGACAAAAAGTGGAAAATTCGTGAATATTTCCATTTTTCTTTCTTCATGAGGCGTGTTCGAGAAGCTATTTAAAAATTGGCTAAAAAATTCGTGCATCCTGTTTTATCAAATCAATGTATGTAACAAGATGCGCGAGGTTTTGAAATAGTATTTAAAGCACGATGGAACTGATCAAGTACAATAAAATAAAACAAAAACAAAAAAACAAAAAACAAAATAAAGAATCAACCAAAGCTCTCAGACCCTAGGAAAATGTTGAAAATTACAAGAAATTGTGGTAATCAAAAATTTAGGGCGAGGAGCTGAGCTGAACAATGGGAATAAAATTAAAGTCGTTGGACTTGTAGCATCGTAAAAGCCCGCGACGAAAGTAATGAAAGATGTCACGAAAATTTCATTTTAAAATTAAGAGTAGTGAATGCTTTTCAATCAATTCTAATTACGATTTACTTTTTTCGTTGATCAAGTTTTTGTTACGTCTCCTTTGTGACCAATCGTCGCCAGCTCTACAGAAACTTTTCTCCTTCTTCTCGGCACACATTTTCGCCAAACATAAGCCAGAATTCTTTTGTCAAGAATCATGTACTCGACTGGTACAACGGTGAAACTGGAGTAAGCCAAGGAATACGACCACAGATATGTACAATGAATTTCCAAAGAAGAGAATTGGTTCCTTAGTAAAACCATGAGTGCAAACATTACCCATAAACTAAGATATGTTATAATCATTGTGACACAAATCTTGGTGAGTTTGACTTCTCTTTTTACCCCTAAAACACCGAGAGTGTCGCGCAGATAGGATGAGTGATCTTGGACGTATTTTCGAATTGCGTAGAATCTGTAAAACATAATTCCAAGAGAAGGGAAGATCCATAGAGCTACGACGGCAATCATTACAGTTTTGCCAATGATTGCGTTCGGAGGCACGTCCCGCCCGGGGCTATAGCAGACGTGTTCGCCTCGCACGACGGTAAGGATATGTCCTGTTCCCCCGGCTGCAGCGGTACAAATTGCATACTACCAAATGAAGACCAGGAAATATGCAGTCTTCTTGCAAGTTATTTCACGCAAAGGCGCGCGACAAATGGCGTCATAGCGGTCTATACTTATGGCCGCTAGTGTCATGATATTAACGGCAAAACAAGTGAACATCGTGAAAAACCTTGATAAGCATATGGGGTTATCGGCAATACTCGCTTGACCGTTTATGGTTCTTACATGAAGCGGCAGACTGATGAAACACGCCATGAGATCGACGCTTGCAAAATTTGCAATCAGTATTCTGTCTGGCGATAAACCTTGATAACGTTGCTTCAAAATTGTGAAAATTAGAATGATGAAGTTCGCGACGGTACCATAAAAACACGACACTCCCAAAACTGCATTTAGAACTGTCAATCCTGGACATTCATCGTTAGTTCTCAGTTGATGTGATTTTTCAAATGCTAAACTGTGATTCGAATTTAAAAACATACCGGCAATGTGATTCTCCTGTAGCCTTGTGTCCTTATTTTAAAGACAGTACATGTACAGCGATCGTTGACACTTGCACATTTCGGATAATCATATCACCTGTTCCCAAAGTGAACTGAGATACACGTTTCCAAGGTCATGTCTCATTAAGGAAAAATTTCGCTACTATGCTCGACCAGCTGGAAGTCTACAGATTACAACGTGTATATTCATCATACGCAAAGGTCATATATGCTAATCATGACTCAGCACTGTAAGATATTTCTCGCAGTTAAACAAAAATTGACATTTTGTATGATAACGTCTCATTAGTTTCCAAACCAATATCCGATGTAGTCAATCGTATAACAAGGCAAAGCACCGCTCTTTGGAACAAAGCGAAGTCTAATCCATTTGTTTGAGCTGACAAGGAACTGATCAAGATATGGTCCTATCTAGCTATGAACTGCTACAGAAAAACCATAACAAACAAAAACTACAATGAAACGAAATCTGTTTTAATTATGCAGAGCAAATACGAAACTTCGAACTTCAATCATACTGCATTTTAATGAATCTTTTAAATTCGCGTCAAAAGCTAATTACTTGAAGAAAATGTCATGTTCGCAAAGCAAGCAAGCATAAATGAACAGACATGAAATCGGCTCCACTAATAAGTTTCTGATGGTGGTGTGATTCCCACACGAAATACAATACTTGCAATAACACGAACGTAAGCCCAGTGAAGTGGTTGGCCAGGAGAAACTGATTTTTTTTTCGGGCCTTGGTAAAATGAAAACACCTGCTTGCGCAACGAATACCTGATGGGCGAAAAATTGGTTGGCAATGTAATTAAAACAACTTTTTTAAAAAAAGCGAATTGTTTATTTGTACCAAAGTCTCCCGCCAAGCTTTCAAACATCCCTTTCTAACCTTCTTGTTCCTCGCTGTTTCGTGAGTATTGGTTAATTAATCAAGATATCTTTTTCAGGAAAGTTCAGTTTTCGGCTGGAAAATGAAATTTCTAAAAGCACCTTTCCGCTGGTGAAATCAATCAGTGGATTTCAATATGTAAGCTGTAAACGGCCGAACAATGCTTTCTTCCTGCCCTTAACGTACAATCTACGGCGAGAATTAGAAGTCGAGGATTCTACCAATTAACACCTACGCGCAGTATTTGTTTTCGGCCATCTTAAGTAACAAACTCATTTCCTGACTTTAAACAAAGCACTCAGAAAGTCAACATTGATGAAAACTATGAATATTAAATTATTTGAGGATGAAAAAAATCCCCTATCTATTTAACGGTTAATTATGTAGGTAATTGTGCCGATAAAGAAACCGAAAAAATTATACAACTTTAAAAAAAATAGAAACACAAAGCGCGCTCTCATGGGACGATAAGTGTGTGGAGTTGCGAGTAAGGAAAGACAGAGTGTAACATGTTAAATAAAAATGTATTTTCAAGGAAGATTTTAAGAGAGAGACAGAGGCGCTTTCCTCTAAACGTTAGGGGAAAGAGCGGATGGGAAAGTTCTCTTAAGATATTCAAACCCTCGACTGTGGACTTGGTTAGAATAACTGTCTCGGATTCTCACAAATTCGAGTGTCTGGATGAGGCTTTATGATATACGGAAGAAGTCGTCGGTACTTTAATTCAACGACAAGCGTAAGATAATTGAATCGTTCTCTTGTTTTGTTCTAAGAAAGAACAGCGATCCCAAAATCTTACCTTGCACCTCATTCAATGGTCCCGTGGGATGATTAACGGAACAAATGATTGGCAGTCAGGGAAGCCGCAGGTCTTTGAACACCAATAATTAACCTTTATTGACGCTCACTACTTGTTTTAAAGTTAACAACAACGATTTGATAAATCAATTATGTACAAAAACATTAAAAATCAATTCAAGACAAAAATTAACGTGAGTTGTTATCAATTGTCTGCGCTAAAAGTAATCATAACAGTTCATAACAGTCTTTCTTGTCTTCTTCGTCGAAGTCCGAAAACGCTGTGGTATCAAGTCGTCGTCGTCATCAGTATCCTCTTCCTCCTCCTCCTCCTCCTCATCATCATCACTATCATCACTGTCTTAATCATCTCGTCGTTCAGAACCATTTCGCCGCAACTTTCCTTTCTAATGTGACCCACGCGATCATCAACAGCCCCCTTTCAACGACCTGATCGTCTCAAAAAATTAGCCGTTCTATGTAAACAAGTAGTTACGCGCTGCACAAACGACCACACGTGAAAGTCTTTTAAAAAAGGTCGCCTTTAACACTGATTCATAACTAATCTTTGTGCAAAGTAGGTGTTCCTGTCGAACCAAAACCTGAAAGATCTGCTCACAACGCTTCAGAATCGCCAAATCTTCGACAAAGAACTTGGATCACTGTCCTTCGGACCAAACTTTTTATAACACCTCGCTTGAGACACTTCAACCATGGATTCAACCAATGCAATACAGCGGAGTAACGTAACCAGCTCATCTTTGAATTCCTTCTTTCCACGTCAGCAACAGTCCGCAACCTGCCAGCTTTCCATTCCATGCCTCCAGTCCTCAGTGTTATTATTCGCATATCTAGTCTTCGTACAAAGAAGTCTCTATATCCCTATGGCCCGTGCTCCTCAAATGCATGGCAATTGCACGCGGATGCCTACACAACACGTTGCACAAAGGGCAAACTACTTCTTCAGTAAACTGCTCTGAGGATCTGCAAGTCACAAAACAAAACGAAACATTAGCAAGTAAAGATAGTTTTAAAATCATTTTTTATTTGTGTGATGTCAGTTGACTATGTGGGCCACGACTATCTTCTTTGAATTCTTAGAGCTATGGAGAAGAATATTAAAAGAAAGAACTGAGGAGTAGAAGAGAGGGGGATAGGCTTTTTGTTCACCAAACTGCATTCTTTAACACCCTATAACTCCTAGCATCTGCTTGGCAATTCTCCCATGAGCTTCTCAGCTAGAGATCTCCTCGTAAATTAATAAGGTGAAACTGCAGTTAAATTAATATAACACCTTCCCGCTGAAAAGCCCGTCTGTTCTCGTAACTTGTTCTTGAGCAAAGGGAAAATAAAACTCAACTGAACCAAGAGAAAAAAATTGAAACAACACAAACGTAAACATTTTCATAACAAAGCTGCCCAAGAAACAGAAGCAAACAGTTCATGTGCTAGTCATTTGTTTACCTTCCTTCCAAGCTTTTGAGCCACTCCAACTTTTCCTGCAGCAGGGCCACCTTCTGCCTGGCCTCGTCGTCTTCATCCTCCAGAGGTACGCCGGAGATAGCCACAGCATTGTGTAACGTGAATAGTTGACCGGCATCTGACTCTTTGGTAGTTGCTTGTAGCAGGTAGGCTGGATCGATCTGTGACAAGGAAATAGATGTGGTTTAAAGCTATCTCTCTTGCGGGATGGTGAGGATCTACGCTTCGCCTGCTTATGACTTAAATTCAATACCTATACGAAGCTTAACATCCACGAACTATAGTAATTATGCAATTTTGTTTCATCAACTGACCTGAGACGATGCTGTAAATTGGCCAACGTAAAGAGTCTCTAAAGCTGACTTTCGAGCATTACCCCTCGTCAGATTGAGTCTTCACGGTAACGCTCTATTATTGGCTCAAAGAACTTGAATATCAAAACGATCTTCGCAGTAATGAACACTGTTTGAGCAATAGTTACTGCGAAGATCGCTTTGATATTCATTTCTTAACCCACAGTTCACATATATGATTTTCATCCAATCACAGTCATTTATTCAAAGAACCCGCTCGCCAGGCTTCTCAACCAATCAGAAGCAAACCAAGAACCAGTCGCGCGGAAAACCTGTGTCACCCTGGGTTTCACTGACTAGTCATTAGCTTTTACTCATATTTCGAACTAGTTCAGTTCTTAGTTGGTCTCCTTCTGCACAAAGGTCAATTTGAACAGCACTCTTCGACCATTAGCCGGTTCAATGTTTGAATTACCTGATTCCAGTAGCCCGTTCTGGGAAATGGGCATGGATTTTTGCTCTCCCTGCGTTTCAAGACAATTCTGGAAAATTTAAAGAAATCCATCATAAAAAATTTTAACGAATTTAACTTCAAACAGCACACAAAATTGGGAACATCAGACATCAATAAGGCTACACGCGACACTAGAGCACAAGACTTCCCTCTATTTTGCGCGTAACAATCAAACTTTAATTTTCAGGCAGGGAGGAATCCGGTGAGTGGACAAAAATCCCCTTAGCTCTCCCCTCGTAAGTCAGTCTGTTCCCGCCTTCACCATATAACCTCGGTTGGCCGCTTCAGATTCAACTTCATCGGCCCAATGATAAAAAAAAAACAACAAAAACAACAAAAACAACAACAACAACGACACCATTCACAAAGCGAGTGTTTGCAGACCGGCACACCGCACACCCAAAATCAAAAACAAAAACAGATTTTCGTCACTATTTGAGCAACTGCGCAGCTACCCCTCCCCCTCGCCCCTAGCCAACAAAAGTTGGGGGGGGGTAGGTGCGCTGTTGCTCAGATAGTAATACTGGTCCACAAAAACACTGAAAACTAACTTAAGCAGCAAAGATCTGCTGACGTTCTGAATTCTCTCCACCATTGGAGTTCCCCAACCAGCTATCGCCTCCTCGCTCTCAAACATCTCGTTAACAGCGCGACGTACCAGATTAATCTATCGAGTAGACGTAAAGTATCACAGTTAAAATGGACAGACGCCTGAGGAAATAAAAGTTTAAAATGACGCAAAACTATGAACATGTAAAAGAGAAACAAAATCTATGTGGGGACGACAGAGGATGGGAAAAAAAAGTTGAGGCCACCCGAGTCTTCAAATTGCTCGGCTAGACAATTTTAGAAGAAAGGTCACTCTTAACGAGGCCCCAATGAATGCGAAAGGTACTCTGATGCCTTGAGAGGGTAGCACGCTATAGGTTTCCTATTCTACCTTTGAATTAAAAGATCTGACGTTAAGGTTGAAAACAAAAAGATCCATCTGAGATTTTATCAATGCCTCTCCGCGTTCACGCGTGAATTTTTTTTTTTTGTAATCCACCATCCGCGACCTATCATCAAAAGCTCATTTACGAACCATTAACCTTAACCTGCGGCCTATTGGGTAAAGACAAGCGAAAGCAAATGTCTTCCTTCGAGCAATGCTCAGGGAGTGAAATCGCTGTAATTATAGGTAACGGAATTCTACGACCAGAGCTCAACATAACTATTAGGGACCTTAAGCAAACCACGACGAGACGCGTACGAGGACGTGGCAAAACAAAAGTTCTAATGGGAAGAACGATAGCTCAGCACGTGCGTTCTAAGAATTCGTACAGTTCTTAGCCGTTCTCAGCAAAGTGAAATTGCCATAACTTGTGTGGTCTGAGAACGGAAACCCCGCCAGCAAATTTTGTAAGTATCCATTTCGAACTCAGCGCTGTTCTCATGTGTTATGCTGAAGTTGCGGTGCAACGTCTTTAGAGACGGTGAACACATCCAGCCATTCGCGAAATTCTAACTAGAATATACATTCATTCTTTGATCGAAGTCTTCCTGGGCGTTGCCGATCTGATTGCTTATGGTCCCTGTAGTCTTTTCGCACCGAGCCAGAGAGTAACATTTCCTTTATATCCAAACCTTTCACCCCGAAAAACGAATACCTATCATCTGCTGTCAACCTACATCGACAATGTCTCTTTCCGTGAAATCCACCTCAAATACTAGCTCGCTGTCATAATCCGGCAGAAGCGCTTCGTTTGTTGTGGGGTCATAACCCAAACCCACCAACGCCCCTGTATACTGCCGCTTGTCACGATCAACTCTGTGGACAAATTAACAGCATCGACTCAAAAGAGATTCCAGGGTTCACGAGATTTTAGGTAATGCCAGCTGTGATAGTTTGTCAAGTGGCTTAAGACATAAGAAAATGTCCAGATAAACACGGAAACGTAAACAGGGCCATAAATTGGCAAAATTGGAGAAGAAGAAAAAGAAGTTCCTTCTTTCTTCAAGGATCCCTGTGTCATTCACTCTGAATATTTCACTTAAATCATCTGGCTCAAAATTCAGCATCTTCATTTACACTGTCACTGAGCTAAAGCGTAACATATCGACATACCTATCCTAGCAATAGGCAGGAAGTTTGTCCCCAGGACCCTTGGTAAATTGCCTACACTTCCCCGAGTCTCTTATGGCTCAGTGGTAGAGGGTCCCAAGTTTTTACGGAAACACTGGGAGTTCTTTTTTCTCCGAGTGTGACTGTGGTTATATCAACTAAGTTGAAATTGGTCACCGTAAAGAGTTAAAAAGCTGATGTTTCGAGCGTTAGCCCTTCGTCAGGGCGAATCACTCTGACGAGTGAATTCGCTCTGACGAAGGGCTAACGCTCGAAACATCAGCTTTTTAACTCTGTGCATATTCCAAGTTCATTTGGGTCGACCAGAGCACACAAGAGGACAGAAAGAGAAACCGTCTGGGTCCAGATGTTCGAAGGGTGGAGAACGCCATCCAACGGATAGAAATTCATTCACTGAACCGCGTTGTCCACCCTTCAAATAACCAAGGCCTGGTGAACAGCCTAAAGACAATCTATCTAAAAAAAGAGAGAGAGAAAAAAAGTAGAAGATAGACAACAAATGATTGGATTTACCTCATTTCAGCAAAGGGAGCAAAGACCAGCGACACCAAAGGCATCAAACCGTGAATGTTCGGCATCAAAGTTGTATCCCTAAAAATATAACAGCAAGACTTCAGGGTACAGTAACAAATGTGGTGACTGGGTTAACGCAGGCGCAGAAAAAGGGGAACATGGACACGACGGCAAAATGAGTGCGCATGCAAGGCGAATTTGGCGCGTTCAGTGATTTCAGCGTCAACGAATTTCGCTATGGAACGCACAGAACATCGTTTTGGACTGTTTAGGACTGTTACTGTTGTGAACCAAACGGACAGGTTAATAGAGTTTGTTCTCGTGGAAAGGTCTGAAGGGTAAGTAGCGTTTTTTTTTATTTTTTTTTAAACAATTACAGTTGATCGTAAGCTGTTTAAAATTTTCCTGACAGCTAAAGCGATAGCATTCGCTACGAACTTCTTAACGATATTACGGATATTCTACTTCAGTCCCTAAATTCACACCTGATACTGCAACATTATCTGTTGTTGATTGAGAAATGTGACAGAAGAAGTTCTACAAAAACTTTCCTGAAAACGGCAACCTTTTCTTGTTTGTTTTGAGCTTTTCCACACAAAATGAAAACAAACGATGGGAATTGTTTTAAAATGCCGTCATAATCTCGTTCCCATTCCTTTAGAGCGTAAAATTTCTCGTCCGTTNATTACGGATATTCTACTTCAGTCCCTAAATTCACACCTGATACTGCAACATTATCTGTTGTTGATTGAGAAATGTGACAGAAGAGGTTCGACAAAAGCTTTCCTGAAAACGGCAACCTTTTCTTTTTTGTTTTGAACTTTTCCACATAGCCTGCGTGCAGCCGAACGAAAACCCCGGTTTTATTCGTCTGCGAATCAGCGACAAATATCTTGTTCTGACGTAGGGAGATCAGTACTTCGTTCTGCATTTTGATTGGATGCTTCTAACGAGCACTCTCATTGGCTTACAAAATTGCCTCGTTTCAGGTCTTTCGAACACAAAGAAAATGGCGTCTGTCGAAGAAAGTGTTTGGAGAGAAGCCTTCTCCCAAGTTCTCTCTCAATTCGGAATTAACGACTTGTTACCCGAACAAAAAAAAGCAATACGATCATTTTTAGCGGGATCTCATGTATTTGTTAATCTTCCGATGGGCTTTGGCAAGTCACTTATATTCCCATGCCTTCCCATCGTGTCAGACGTGATAAACTCCAAGCTGCGAGCTTCGAGTTTGATTGTAGTTGTTTCTCCCCTAAAATCGCTCATGAAAGATCAAGTAACCAGTTTGTCGAATCTAGGGATTCCAGCAATAATGATCGGAGAAGAACACAACGACCCAGAAGTAATTCCACAAGTCAAAAACGGAAACTATATGGTCGTGTATATATCTCCAGAGTGTTTGTTGTCGACTTCGACTTGGAGAGGGATATTTGAAGACGATGGTTTCCGTGAAAGGCTGATTGGAATCGCTGTAATATTCTTCGAACAAACTATACATACGCGTTCCATTAAAACATTCGAGCGCTCGTGCTAAGACTTGCCCGGGAAAACAAACATGGCATATGAGGCAACCTGGTGCGAGTGATTTTCAGCCAATGAGCGCCCTCGTAAGGAACAACCAATCGAAACGAAGTACTCGAATCTCGGTACTCCAGAACAAGATATTTGTCGCTGATTCGCAGACGAATAAAACCGGGGTTTTCGTTCGGCTGCACGCAGGCTATTTCCACACAAAATGAAAACAAACGATGGGAATTGTTTTAAAATGCCGTCTTAATCTCGTTCCCATTCCTTTACGCGCGTAAAGTTTCTCGTCCGTTACAAGCATGCACACTCGCTTTGCCGCTGTGTTGGGGAAAAATGATATTTACGCAAGGGGTTCATTAAATTATGTCAATTGTCAAGTATCCATAAATAGCAAAATATGGATCTCGTCATCTTGCAGCACAGAGTAATTTCTAAGAATTATTACATAGCATTCTTAAATCGGGCAACTCCGCGAAAATGATGTCACAGGTAATTTACCTTGCAACCACGGTAGATCCGGTCGCATTTATACCAATTTTAGCCGCGACTAAAAACCTTTGATGAGGGTCCTGGGGATGGTCTTTCAGGATGATACTGTTCACCGAGTTTTGCTCAATTCTCACAGACCTGGTGAGTGTAAGAAATGGAGAGGTAAGAATACCAAACGAAAAAAGGCTTGAAAAACACACAAGATGACCAAACTCCTTACTTTAGTCGCCCAATATTGGTTATGCTGTAGAAACTCATTTCAATGGGGCTCTCGGGCCCACGCAGCATCACCTGTGCAAACGAAACACGATGAAAACTTACCAAGCTTTCAAAACCAAGAGGCTTCTAAAATTCTAAAGTTTTTCAATTCATGTGCGTTCTAAACCAAACTGAATTAAGAGGGTCGCCCTTGAACTTGAGCTTAAAAGCTAGTGTATTGGAGCTCAATCCGGTTTCGCTGGCATCAAGCAATTACAAGTACCACTACTTCTGACCCGTGGATGACAAGCTGGTAAAGTCCCTCTCAAGTAACCTCCCAGTATATCGTCAAGTTTCCCTGACAAATCTTCGGTAACTATTAAGCCTTTGAGCCTTAAGAGGGTTTAGCATCTACCGTAATTTCTCCAAACATTACCATCCCTGAATCCCACACTTAGCTCCTGAGAATAAAGGAAATGATCAACTAATAAAGCTCTTGATTGTTCAACAAATTCTCCTTATCAGCACCATAGGAAATGTTTGAGAATAGTATGGAGAATATGCATACTGATGCGTGAGAATCGAGTGCCCTCTTTAAACACACAACACAGTGAACCTGGAGATAAGATGAGGAGTTTTCTGAATCTCAATTTTGTGGAAACGAACGAAAGCAAAGTTTAAACAATCTGCCGAACCCCGTCATCCATCTTTTCACTAGAGGCAAAGCATATGTGCTGAGCACGCGACTCGTTGAAGAGATAGTAGTACTATACGATTACCTTGGTGGCAAACCTTTCATCAACTTCATCGTTTTGTTCGACCAGTGAGTCAATCCAGGCGGTGTTATCCTCAGGAGGCAAGGTCTCTCCAGACAAAGAACTTTGATGAGCAAGCTAGCAAAGAGAGCATTTATAATGAGAAAAAGATCACCCAGAAGTGTCTATAAAATGGTAAACATAAGAAAAGAGTTCAGCAATGACCCAGTAGATCAACATGGACGCCATTTATCTGTCTTGGCAATCAAATATGGCCGCCGCGACGTCACGTTAAAACGTCTGATGCAAAGCCGTTTCGGAAAGGAGCTAAAATTTAAAATCTTGTGCCCTGTAACAGCACTTATTTTTGTTGTCATTGTTCCCTGTAATTGCTGCTGCTGTTGTTGTTGTTTTTGTTTACCTTAGAAGCTCGAGACTCCTCCTCAAATTGTGCAAACCCTTCTTCGACGAGCTTTTGATTTATGTGTACGTCTTCCTCGGTGCTTGTGTCGTACAAATCAACAATTAGGACATTTTTGAACAGCGAATACACCTGTAAAAACAGTGTAACAATGAAAACGAGACATGGATTGCTTTGTTCTATCGGGAAAACAAAATAAAGCACGAAGCTCAAGCTCTACACTCCGTTCAAAGTGATGAAGATACCGCTCTTGCTCGAGTAAGCGCCACCCTCGAATGAGCACCGCATTAGAGACAGAAACGATAGTAAGCGTGGAGGTCAGAGCTGTTTGGAGCATGTATCAATGTACTTATTCAGAGGCATAACCTCCCACACCGCAGATAAACAAAAGATCAGTGACATCAAAACTGAGTGAAGACACCACTGGTTATGTAATTAAAAACTACCTGAAGATACAAATGGTGACTAACAAACCACGCCCATTTCAGTTACGTTAAAAATCTACAACTGATAGAAAATTTACCGTCAGATCAAATATAGAAAAATTCTTCGGAGTGTCCAATTTTCGAATCGGCGTCGCCCTCGAATAAGCCCCACATTTGAGGTGCGAAAAATTAAAGAAGTGCCACGGCGTTTACTCGAGTAAATACAGAAGTTTAAAAAGGAATGAATGGTTATCCCTCTTGGTGAGATGCGCAGCGCACCTCAACGGTAGTTTCCGATGACGAAACTCTAAAAACTACCATCATTGATGGAAAGATTTTTGAATGAATGCTCATTGGTCTGGAGTGGATTGCCCCCCCCCCCCCCAAAAAAAAAAAAAAGGTTTTCGAAATTACAGACTAATCAATGGTTATGTGGTCTCTGTCGCATCTTCACACCTTTCTACCAGTATCTGTCTATCCTCCATTATTCAGTCATGGCCCCGCTCCTTTCCCCTAATACCTTTCGGGCGAGAAACGAGGAAAAGGACAATTGGTACCGGAGGAGCAGCAGGAAGCGTCGGAAGACATGGTTACTCACCATCACAACCTTTAGAGCACACACCGATTCAGCATTGCAATTTTGTATAACTAATGAGAATTTAAAAAAAAAAAATACACTTAAAATAGGGATTGTACCTTGGCAACCAGCTTTGTATTTTCTGTCAGCTGAATAAATCGCTGAGTGGCTCTGGGAGACCACGTTCCCACTGGACTGTGAGGAGAAGGTAAAGGTCCTACTTCACATAATCTACACTCAAATGCCTGTGCAAAAGGGTATCAAACACAAATAATAAAAATATGTGAATGGGTGAGCGACTTATAGACCCGGCAGCGGATCATACAAATCACACAAATCACACCAATCAAGTGGCGGTGGCTGCTGCTGCTGCTGCTGCTAATAATAATAATAATAATAACAATAACAATAACAATAACAATAACAATAACAACAACAACAACAACAACAATAATAATAACAACAATAATAATAATAATAATAATAATAATAATAATAATAATAATAACAACATATAATTTATCAATGGACATTCCACTG